GATTCCTGCACTTACTGTAAGTAATTTACTTGACTAATTTTTGGGGCGGTACTTATAACTTTCCTTCCACTACATTTCAAAGTCAAATATTGTACTTTCTACTCCACTGCATTTCTAGGAAGCTGCTAGTTCCTTGTTCCTTTCGGCTCAGCTTAGCTTTGTAATCCACTGTTCCTGTTTTTATTTCTGGAAATGCAATTTCAACATTGCTGATAGCAGCCCTTAGGACTGAATTTGGAAACCACTGTTTTAGAGATTTGACATGATGTTGCACAGATGTCAGAAACTAGGAGAAGATATTATTAGTAGTTTATAAATGTAATTAAGGCCTTAGTTGTTGCTTTGAGGCCAAGTTGTTCAGTTGGATGAGTTCTCAAATCAGAGTTACAGTTTTTTTTGTGGTGTAAGATTCAACCTTAAACCTCTATACCATAATTAAAGATTGCAGGGATTCAAGACTCCTGTTTTCTTTCTGGTTTGTTTTTAAATATGAAATAATAAAATAGCTGTCATTTTTTGTGGCATTTTAATGCCGGCGTTCTTTACAGGTGATGTAGAATCTATAACAGGTGGTTTTACGCATCAATACATCAGGTGGTTTTTGAAAGTTACAATGTTCTTTAAAATTATTTTGAGAATTATACAGAAATGTACTGATATTAGAAAACTTAATTTGTATTTTTGAACATTTAAGTACTTTTAAATGCATGTACTTCTGAATATTTAGGTATTTTCAAAAGTGAGTACTTCAATACTCTAACTTCAGTAGATTATTGACTAACTTTTACTCGTAGTTGAGTAAGATTTGACTAATATCAATACTTTCACTTAAGTACTACTGTTGAGTACTTCTTCCACCACTGCCTGTTTTCTAAATTAGATTGGAGTATCAGCAATCATTGCTATGCCGATGTTTTCTGTACGATTTTGTTTCATCCGTAATTCTTCTGTGATAGGTCAGGAAAATATACATAGTGATAACTGATAAAACCACGTGATAGAAAGTAAGCACGTAATTTTATAACTAGAAAAATCAAGTTTCTATTTTATACTAGAACTAGCCTGAAAAAAAAGTACTTTATTTTTATCATATAAGAAAACCTCTGGTAATTTATAGCATGAAGTAAGATTGCAAAAGCCTTCAGTGAGTTGCTTCTACTTAAAGAATAAAATGAGCTTAAACTGCCAGAATATTGAAAGTGCTTCCATTGCATTTTTCCCAACAGGTCAAAGGTCATCCTCATATTAGAAGCTTAAAACCCTGTTTGTTGCATCATTGCTGCTATAGCTCCCATATTCCTGATGCAGCTCCTGACAGCTGTGGCGCTCCACAGCTGAGCGCCCTGGCCGGCCTCCAGATTGCTGCTTGATGTCTGCCTGATAGGAAGTTGATTGACTGACTAGCAGGACCTCCTGAGAGGCCTTTGAGTCAAGCCTCTGACTGACGGGTCAATCAGCCACCCAGGACCCCTACTGTGGTTATCAATTATCAACCGTATGAGGGGAAAAAAACACTCGTCTGATTCCTGTTGTGACATGTCATGACCTTTGCGGACTCTCCAGGGGCCGTCATGTTCTGCCTTTCGAACTCGCTAATATCGTAGCCATCTCTCAGTTCAAATGACACTGAATTATCTTTAGGATACCATTATTACCTGATGATGGATGCTGACATTTAAAGAAAGTTTCCTTTTGGATCAGAGCCATACTTAGGTGCCATTTCTTTATCTAATATGTCATATGTGTCAGTTGACAGAAAAATGTTGTAATTTGTGGACTCTCTGACACAAAGTGCCTTTCTCTTTCAGCTCATAGTGGGGATCATCCAGGCAGCAGAGCTCCCTGCTATGGATATGGGAGGCACATCCGACCCTTATGTTAAGGTCTACCTTCTACCCGACAAGAAGAAGAAATTCGAGACCAAGGTCCACAGGAAGACCCTAAACCCCGTCTTCAATGAGCAGTTCACCTTCAAGGTACCTCTCGCATTAATCCTTTGAGCTTTGCTGAGTGCTCAAAATCGTTTTCACAGTTTTGTAGCAGGAAATCTTTCACTTCTGTTGACAATCCGATTTGCATGCAGCCATGAAACCTGGGAGGGTGTGCAGACAGCAACCAGCTGGTGCATTAACAAGCTCCTGACAGAATATCTCTCACACACACTAACAGTCAGGCTCAGTATGATTGGGATTAACACAGGCAGATGCACAGCTTTGCCCCTGCCTCGCCACAGTCATAATGGATGCATAGCTACTGCTTAGCGGTGGAGAAAGTTTTGTTATTTGCTCAACTGTGGAGAGCTCAGGTGTTTGATGTACGTTAACCATAATGCAATGTGATATTTATGTAAATGCATAACTGTGTGTTTGCTTTTCTTAAATACATATTTATAAATCTAAAATGAATCATGGGAAAACACATATGGTAGCTATAACTTTATGAATACTTGTAAAGGACAAGAAAGTGTCCATTTCTAACCTGGTAAATATCTTTGTTCATCAGAGTTGGATCAAAAACGTCTACATCTCATCAGTACACTTTTAAAATAGACACAAAAGAAAAGGTCCAGTTTGACTTGTATTGAAGGTCTTTCTAAGTTTTTGTTCTGACCTTGGTTGATTTTTCAATCTTTTTCAGTACAATACAGTAAAAGACAAATAACAAAACCCTTTAACTCTGACCTGTGATTTATTTGTGCAAGACAGGCTCTGACAATCACCAGTTCAGGCAGTTTTCAAAGCTCTCAATACAGAAACTTGGCAAAGAACCATTTTAAATTTCATGGGGCACCTTTCTTTCTAACACTGAAATGTCATTGGACATCTATTTAATGGCTTTTTGAGGTTAGTTAGCCAAGTTATGGTCTTTATTCAATACAGAACATTTAGTTTTTCCACATAAAAATGTGTTATCGGTCATAAACAAAGATGTTTGATGTAAGGATAGATGAGGCTCCCGTTAGACTACTTTTAGTAATTAGTAGAGCCTTTACGTAGACATCTCTACGCCTTTCGATTTTTAAATGTCATATACATTGCTTTGGCAGATTTTTTAATCTCATTCATTTTATTTAAATCAATTCACAACAGATATCCTCTAAAGGCACATTAGAGAGACAATTCAACTGAGTTACAGTCCGATTGGTTAAAAGTTTTCTAAGGAAACCCAGCAGGCTGCGTCAAGATGAGCATTTAGAGACATTCTACATTTGCTTGCATTGTGTCGTTGACTCTACCACGATCCCTCACACCAAGCATGCTTGCTGTTAGAGTGGGGAGAAAAAACTCTATTTTAGGAGAAAGAAACCTTCAGCAGAACCAGGCTCAATGTGAGCGGCCTTCTGATTGGGCTGGCAGGGGATTCAAGGAGACAGAAGCAGACATACAAAAAGAACACAGAAGGACTGATGTAACTCCAAAGTGACAACACTGGCACGGCTTCCTTTAGACGGGCTCTTTATTAACGCCGTGAAAACTACAGAAATAGAAGACAAAGTTTTAGATATCGATACATTTACAGACAATCAGATTACACGTGCTTTAACAGAAGTTACCTCGTGACCGCCTGCCACTTCGGAGGTCTTTAACAGTTTAATTCTTCCTCNAAAAAAAACATGACTTTCAGGTGTTCTTCCTACGTGTTTAACATGTTTTCTCGGTCTAAGACAAACCTTTTAGACTATTACTATTATTAGCTTCAAAAACTGTTAAAAAGAGAGTTTAAAAAATATTTAACAGACCTTAGGAAACCATAGAGCTGTTGATATAGACTTTTAAAAACGATAACTTAGAAATATGTTGTGCATACATAAGTCTATCTCCTTGGAAGCTCTATGTATTAAAAAAAAATCTTAAATCTTAATAAATAACAAAATAACCTGTAATGAAAACCAATATTTGTAATTTATATTGACTACTTTTTAAACTGACTCATAGATAACTTTTCTGTATTTCAAACAAAACTACAATAAAATCAACAAAAACAAAGCAGATGGCAAGAAAGCTCCTAAAATAATCAGACTACCAGGGGTATTGGCAAAGATATGACTGAATAAGAAAACTGAATCATAAAAATAATTTTTTTTTAAAATGAAGCCATATGAAAGGAGGAAACTCAGCGTCTGTCAGGATTTCCATGAGTCCAAAAAAGATCCTAGGAGGTAATGGCTGAACCATCACAGCTGCTGTGATTATTTTAGGACACTAGAGATTTAGCTTTTCCACGTGTTTAAAAATATGTTGGCAACTGATGTCGAACCGATCACACAATGACAGACATTTTAATTTTGATACATTATTTTTAAATAATCTCCAAACCTGCCAAGAATGGATTTCAACTTTATTATACTATGAACATCTTTCTAATAAAGAACAGGATCTGCTGTTTAGATTGAATTACTTCCTTCTTGAAAGTTTTTCGGGCTGCTTATTTGTCAGATTTTTCTAAATCGGACCAACATTAACCAAATAATTAAGTGCATAAGTCTTTAGACTAGAAACAATTATCACGCCTCTAAATGCCCCTTTATCAGTCCAGGACACAAGATGACATTAAAACGTAGCCAGAATGAGTTTGGCGTGTAGAGTCTTGGAGAAGTTTTCTCAGGGAAAACAAGCTACACATATGAACTAATCCCTGATGGACTCTCTTAAAACTAGGGCTGAACGATTTTGGAAAATAATCTAATTGTTTATGTTTTTTTCTATCTTATTATTGCGATCTAATGCAATAATGTATTTAATAATGTATTTTTAAACAAATACAAGCAAAAAATCAATCTGTTTCATAATAATCATTCGATTTCTTTAAAACACAGATTAAGCTTTACCTCATTAACATCTTTTTATGTTTTAATGAAACATGAAGATATAGATATATGGACTGCACTCCTTAAATAGTACCAGATTTTAACAGACCAGTCTTTAAATAATCAAATTAAGATATGAAAATAGTATTGACTGAAAATAGTATTGACTGGCATCACACACTAAAGAGCAGGAAAATTATAGAGTTTAAAATGTCTCCTTTCAACCAGTTGAAAGTTTTATAGGTATATCAAACTCTGAAATTAACACAAAATTAACAAATGTATGAACTTTTTAAATCCTAAGAAGAAAGTTATGTAAATCATACATTAACTCAACTTAATGCACTGTTAAAATCTGGTATGGCTCATCCGTACGGCTTGACCGCAAATCAGTAGTTGGTGCAAAAAACTCCTGTTTTTAGCTCCGCTGAAAATCTGTTTCTGCATTTTTTGTATAGCTCAGGTATGGCCTCTTGGCTAAAATATGTGCGTTAGTGCATTAAACACCTCTTATCCATCAGGCTTACCAAAGCTGTAAACCCAGGCTTGGTCATTATACTAATTGGCATCAGGTTTTTCGCTATAAACTTGAGTTATTACCCAAGTTATTTCATTGTGATGTTTCAAATTATGTTCATAAGGAGTAACACTTTCAAACAGTTCGGTCAGGGATCCCTGTCAGCTGGTACTTTACTTTCTTGACGTTGGGGCACTGGTAGTTGGCATTCTAGCCATGCAACTATCATACATGGCTTTGTGTTTTTTTTTTAAGCGATAAAGGTTTGTTGTTTTACATCTTAAGGCAGTAGCAAGGCATTGTCATGGCAGCATTGTCTTTTTTAAACCCAAAATAATTCCATACAATTGACGTACTGCTTCTCTTTGGCACCAGACCTTCAGTTGTGTCAGTTTTTGTCCAGCCAACAGTCATCCCCAATCACGGGACCCATCAAATCGCGGCCTTTGCAGTTAGACAATCTTGCTTTATCATATTACAACATTATTGCAAATGCAATTAATTGTTCAGCCCTACTTTGCACTACTGTTCAAATGGCAACTATATCTAGAAAGCTTTTTGAGTGAGGTCTGGGCATTATGTTGGAGGATGCTGAGGAGAAACATCTTATATACCTGTAGAAATGCAACTAAAATAGCTCTAAAGAAGTAGTAATTTACCTTCACACTGAAAAATAAAGTATCTTGAAATTTGCCCCAATTATTTACATTTGAACTTTAAGGGAAGACCTTGAGTTGGTCTTAATCCAGCGTAAAGGGAGCTGCATAAGTAGTAAACTTATGCATAGTTTTTATCACTGGTTCAGCACCGTAAAAATGGCAACTTCCAAACTGGTAGTTGGTGTTAACTGGTTTTTGGAAGTTAATTTGATTTAAAGCATTGATTTAATAAGTTCATTTCCCCCCCAGGTACCCTACGTAGAGCTTGGTGGAAAAACGCTGGTAATGACGGTCTACGACTTTGACCGCTTCTCCAAGCACGATGCCATTGGAGACATCAAGGTGCCCATGAACAAAGTGGACTTTAGCCGTGTAACAGAGGAGTGGAGAGATCTACAGAGTGCTGAGAAGGAGGAGGTGAGCCTTTACATCCATGTCATTACAGTCACATGCCAAAGCAATATACAAAAGGTACCGAAAAATAAAATTCTGAAATCCCTCTGCAGACGGTGTTTATTAGACGCTTAGATGTGAACATTTTCTACCTCTTGTTTTTATAATTAGGGTGTTTTTATGACACAAGTGATATTGTAGTCATGACATAGTGGAGCTTGTACCATAACTACGTTGGCGTGGCTGAGGAAATCCATTTCTTCTCCAAATGCCACTTAATCATATGTCCACATTTCCTGTTCAATTAATAGAAGTGTGGGTTTCCAGGCTCCAGCTCGGGAGATTCAATTTTCATGGTAAATGTCATGGCATATAGCACATGCTGGCAACCTTATTTTTAGCATTACGGTGGGTTGATTTGAAGGTTAATTATCACACCATGGATGGTTGGTGGAGTTGTTGAGTTGAAGGTTATCCCTTGGCCTCTTTAAGCTGCATTGATACTTATTCCCTGCATCACAGTGACACTTTTTCTTTATCATTCTAAAATTTAGAACATCTACGTTTTTAATCAGTAAGACCAATTATTCTATTTGTGTTTTACTACAGGTTTAATTTTTTTTTTTTTGCATATTTTTAAGCTTGATATTTAAAGTTTCTATATACATGCATTTGAGACAAAAATAAACTTATCAAAATTACCTTCAAGTCCAGCTGGCAAATTGTTTTTTGTTGTTTGTTTTTTTTTTTTAGCAGAAGCATTAAGAGGGCCTCTCTTGACTATTTTAAAGGCTTCATTTATACTACCTTTTGCAGTCTCTAGTATTGCAAGCTGAATAAAAATTATATTTACTCTTTAAGAGATTTTATATCTGCGCCAAGGCAAGACTGTTAGATAGAGAACAATAAAACAGTCAAAGGGTGAATTCTGCAGAGATTTTCATCAGTCTGATTCTGCACGAGGTAACGGAGCCTAATTAATCCCACATGAAAAGCTTCTGAAGTATAACTAAGGTCAATATACTGGATCAGTTTGTTGATTACTTAAAACATTTTCTAAAAAATTGATACTCTTCAAACATGCTTGACCCAGTGCGTGTGGGCAACTCCAGTATATATATTTTTAAAAAAGTCTATTTTTTGTTTTATTTATTTATTTTAGCAAAAACGTAAGTGCAAAAATTCTGATTTTTAGAAGCAGTTTAAAGCAAAGAAGACTTCAGAAATACCCTTCGATCTGTAACATAATAACTAAGTTTAGATACCCTGCTATTAAAGACAGAAAAACAGTTTTCAGTCAAATAAAATGAAACTAACAAAAGCAATAATAATTAAAAAAAAAAAATGGAAATCATGACATGGACTTTAATTTATGTATATATACAATAGAATATGAGCCGGTAAAACAATATCGCATAAAATAGTCTTAATAAAAGCAGTCTGATATTGTTACTAAGCTATATAATAATATAGAAAGATGAGTAATTAAAACAACAAAGAATAGACTACATTAATCTTTAATACAAACACACTGATGCTTTTAGAGATTTAAACTTGGTTTTTCTGCAGGTGAAGAACTGAAATAAACAGAGATAAGGTCTATGATGTGAGGGTAAATCACAGCTTAATGTTTGCTCATCTGAATAGTTTTTTTTTAATAATCTCTATTACAACATCAATGACCCAAAATATATTGTATTTTGAGTTATTTCCCAGCCATATTAAAAAAGCTTTGAACATTTAAGGATTTTATCATTTCCAGGTCCTATTAAAAACAGTAAGAATAATATTTTCTTCATTTTTTGTTATCCATCTGTGTGTCATACATCTATTAATCAATTAAGTTATCTGCCCAACTGTTCCATGCAACCTGAGTTTTTAGTAGTGCCTTTATTAAACAAAAAAGAAGTGCAGCTAAAGTTATATCAGGTAGAAATTCATGGTAAATCTAAGTGTTGATGATTCATAAACTGGCTGAACAGGACAGATAACACTGACAGTTTAGAGCTGAAAAGGTGTGGATTTTATCTAATGATATATTGTGACCTTGTGAAAGCATTCTCATTTAACGTGATTTTTCTACCTCCTCCCTCACAGCAAGAGAAGCTTGGCGATATTTGCTTCTCTCTGCGATACGTTCCCACTGCTGGGAAGCTGACGGTGGTCGTCCTCGAGGCCAAAAACCTGAAAAAAATGGACGTGGGTGGCTTGTCAGGTGAGGAGATGAAATCTTTTTGTACCCACTGACTTTTTTTTTTAGTGACGGGGCTTTTGTCTGTAATTACATGTGCCCAGCAGCACTCTTTTTCTCTCCCACAACATGATTGTTATTCCCTCTTTCTCTTAATACAAACACTGAATTTTACTTGACGTTTTCCCTTAGAAATCTACCGAAGTGATACATATTTAGCTTGTAATGGTTGTATTTATTTAAATGGTAAAAAACCGTCAAACATATTTCAGATTTGGTGTGACTCATCACTTCCCTTGTGTGATGGATAAGAGGTTTTGTATGTTTTTGGATTATTACCTTGGTGCTTTTGAAGCTTTTATGCACTGAAGCATTGCAAACCCTTCCCTAGTTCAAAAATGGCAAAACAATCCTAAAGGCTGCCCTTTTCAAGAAGATGTTATATTTTGGTCTTTATATTCACACAATTGTAGGCTTTTGTCATGTGTTTTCCACTCCTTCACTATATATACTGCTCTAAAAACTAAAGGAAACACTCAAATAACACATCCTAGATCTGAATCAACGAAATATTCCTATTGAATACTTTGTTTTGTACAAAGTTAAATGTGTGGACAACAAAAAAATAAATAAATAAATGGAAATCAAATTTTTTAAGAAGGGGGGTCTGCATTTGGCATCACATACAAAGAAAAACACACAACAGGATAATCCAAATTCGAATGCTCAGTGTAGTGTGTGGCCTTCACATGCCTGTATGACCTCCCTACTACACCCAGGCATACTCCTGATGAGGTGGTAGATGGTCTCCTGAGGGATCTCCTCCCAGACCTGCACTGAAGGATCCGCCAACTCCCTAAAAGTCTGTGGTGCAACGTGACATTGGAGGATGGATCCAGACAAGATGTCCCAGATGTGTTCAATCAGATTCAGGTCTGGGTAAAGAGCAGATTAGTGCATAGCTGCAATGCCATCATCGTGAAGGAACTGCTGAAGCACTCCAGCCACTTGAGATCTAGCATTAGGAGGAACCCAGTGCCAACCGGAACCAGCATATGGTCTCACAAGGGGTCTGAGCATCTCATATCTGTACCTCATGGCAGTCATGCTTCCTCTGGTGAACACATGGAGAGCTGTGAAGCCCTCCAAAGAAATGCCACCCCACACCATTACTGACCCACTACCAAACCAGTGATGCTGAAGGATGTTGCAGGCAGCAGATCACTTTCCATGGTGTCTCGTCTGTCACATGTGCTGAGTGTGAACCTGCTTTCATCTGTGAAGAGCACAGGGCACAAGTGGTGAATTTACCAATCATGGCGTTATCTGGCAAATGCCAAGCATCCTGCATGGTGTTGGACGGTGAGAATAACCTCCATCTGGTGACGTCGGGCCCTCGTACTGTCCTTATGGAGTCCGTTTCTAACCCTTTGTGCAGACACATGTACATTTGTGCGCTCTGGCAGTGCTTCTCTTGTTCCTCATGGCACAAAGGCAGAGGTAGCGGTCCTGCTGCATAGTTTTTGCCTCCTACTGCATTCTCCACATCTCCTAGTGTACTGGCTTGTCTCCTAGTAGCGCCTCTGGACACTATGCTGACAGGCACAGCAAACCTTCTTGCCACAGCTCGCATTAATGTGCCATCCTGAATGAACTGCACTACCTAGGCCAATAGTGTGTGTGGTAGAGTCCGTCTCATGCTACCACGAGGGTGAAAGCACCGCCAACATTAAAAAGTGACCAAAACATTAGCCAGAAAGCATAAGTACAGAGAACTGATCTGTGGTCCCCACCTGCAGAACCACTCCTTTATTGAGTGTATCTTGCTAATTGCCAATAATTTCCACGTGTTGTCTATTCCATGCACAACAGCAAGTGCAAATTATTGTCATTCAGTGTTACTACCTAAGTGGACAGTGTGATTTAATTGAGGTTACACAGTGTTGTTTACATGTTCCCTTTATTTTTTAGCAGTGTTTTTACTGAGCCATTTACAGTAATGTTCAAAACTGTGACTAAAGAGCATCAGCTATAATAAACCCCTTTGCGCCGCAGCATCAATGTTATTGTGCTGAAAAACAACATGAATGCTTTAAGTGGAATTTCATTTAAAATCTAATATAAAAATTTTTACAAATTTCTTTAAAGATTCAATAAAAAGTGGGAACAGAAACTGCATTAAGATACAGTAAATTGTTACGGTTAATATGCTTAAGCTTTCTTTAATTGATGAATGCTAATCAATCCTATGGTCACATTTTGTAGGGTTACAATCGATGTCATGGAGTCTGTTCTCTGTCTTTTGTAGCTTTTGTAAGTTTCCATGATATTTACTATGCTTTTATAGTTTAATGTGCAGAAAAATATTTACCATCATGTACTTATTTTCCCTAAAGTTTTAGTAACTGTCCTTTTTGAATCAAAGTGGGTCTTGATCTCAAATAAACTACTTTAGGTATATTTCTAAAACACCAATTCATCGCTCGTGTCACTTTAAGGCGCTTTGCAGGGCCAGTTCAATCAAGTCACACAGACTGGTTAAAAAAGTTCTTGCTTTGATTCCAGCTTCTAGTGCTCAAATGCATTTAAAGATCCCTTCTTGCATGTACTCTAAAAGCATGAAATCACACTGTAATCTGGCTGCTGCCCCTTTGACTTTTTCCTCAGGTTCATTTCAAATTCTCCATTGTGCACTTCCCTCTTGCCTCGACTCTTTCCACCACAATTACCATCCACCTGGGTCCACTTGCCTTCTGCTTGACAGGCCAGACTCGCTATAAGCCGAAACAAAGTGCAGTACTGTAACACAGAAAGCATTCAGAGCTCAGAGCTGCCTTTCATCCATGAAAACAGAGCGAGCAGCCATTTGGCTACGATGTGGATTAAAATAAAAATCCCCTGCTGCCATTTTATGATACCAGCATTAACTCTCACCTTTGCCATTTTTGCATTAGGTGATTGTGAATACTCTAATATATTCACAACAACTAATAAAAATGAATGAAATTCTCAGACATTTAGATTATATATTTTTTTTGTAATGTATATGTTCATCTCTCTGCATCTAGTTAGTTTTATTGCAACACAATCAAATCCACATATAAACTGCACCTTAATTAGAAGTTTTTTGCACCCTCAATTAGGTTTTCTGACGAAAAAGAATTCGCCATAAGCGGGTAGCCGAGGGATGGAATAACGGGCAGGTCTTAACAACAATAATTAGCCTCCAAGCACAGTCAGAGCTTAAGAAGGAGGACGTGTAATTGATGGCCTGGGATCAGCCTTCTCCCCTTTTGTCATCCTGTTTACCATGCCTAATTATGGCTCACAGTGGAAGATGTGGGAATTATCATTAACCAATGTATAATCACAAATAATTCTTTTGATTTGCTCCTCATGAAGCGGTCCGTGAACCTACCCTCATGCTGGGCCACCTAAAGAAAAGCTTTAAAACTTTGTTTTTAGAAGTTCTAGTTGACCTTTTTTGTCGCCGCGTCTTAACTGCCACGATGCTCAGGGCACCATGTTCTTTAGCTGTCGTCTTAAAATAATCCGGGCCTCATTACCGACAACTTACTCCTTTTTTCACTGTCGAAGGCTGCACCGTTTCAAGCTAAAATACATAGCTATTATGTTGCCTCGTAGGCAATCAGATTTCTCTGAATTGTTTAACTCCAGGGGGTAATTTTTTTGTCCAACAGCCAAGAAAGTGACTTATTGGCTCTCATAACCTCAAACTATTTCAGCCTCCTACAGATGTCATTCTTTTTTGTGAGGTTTATCTAATAGCAGTCCAAAACAGAATATATAGGTTTTTTTTTTTTTTTTTAAGATAATGCACTCTTATATTGGTAGTAAGGACATCCGATATTACCCAGAGGTTGAGTGAAAGGATAACTTCCTGAGACTGTTTTGTTTTCCTCCTTTTGTACTTTTTTGGAGAGCTGTTAGGCAGCATATAACCAAGTAATGACCTGCAAAAACGGGGCTATCAAAGCACAAAGGTGCTGTTTGGACGTTAATGAAGCTGCACTGCCTTGACCCAAGGCGATATCTCAGTATCAAACCTTTCAGCTGGAAGGTTTATTTGTCTTATGCTGCTGCCTGGTCCCAAAAGGAGGCTTCCAAGTTTCTATGTAAGCCAGAGGGCTTAAGGGATCATTAGGTCGATGTAAAAGCAATTTAAAAGTGATTAAGGAAGACAAAATTAATGTTGTTGGCGTTTTGGGTTTTAGATTTTTTTCCCTGATAATTATTTTAGAGTGTAAGATTCAAACTTCGACTCTTTAAAGTTCAGCTAAAAGCTTAACTGTTAAGTTGCACTTAAGCCTTTATCATAGAGTGAGTGACTTATGGTGAAAAGAAAGTAAAGCTGCCATAAATAAATCAAAGTAAATATATTTATTTACTTAACTTTGTCAGTTGAACAAATCAATCCTTCTTCATGGAGTCATCTGATTAGTTTGATGAGAAAGTGGTTTATAATATAGTTAATGTATTGCCTTAAATCTTGATTTATTTCCAAAACACCTTGACATCTAATATAAAATTATGTAATTTAATTGTTGATTAGCAGACTTGTGAATAGAATAGAATGTCTTTAACTTGCTCAGATATTGCTTGGCATATTGCTTTTGGGTCATGTTGGCTATTATAAATCTTACTGAAAGAAACACTGCATTACTATTGTACCCGAGTTTTAGCTTAATTAAATTACTTCAATTCACATTACTTGGAATGTATCAATGCTATATGGAGGCTGCTCTTCTGAAAAACTTGCCAATGTGACTTGAATCCGTCACTAAATCGGTCCTTTGACCTAGAGCCCCTCTTCACAGCAGTCTGAGCCCCCCGTAAGACCAGAGCTAATTAAGAGCTAATTAAGCTAAAAGTTTGTCTACTAAACAAATATGACAGTCACCCGATCAGGTATACTTTTATTTTTCTGATGTATGGATTAATCTAGATGGGTAATGTTTCCTTGTCGTTAAAAGTATAGTAACTCCATAAATTGTTGCTCCAAA